AGATGAAGATCCTGGCTCATGGATTCGGCCTAGCCTAGCCCTGGCCATTGTGGCCATTTGGGGAGTGAACCAGAAGATAGAATGTGTGTGTGTGTTTGTGTGTGTGTGTGTGTGTGTGTGTCCCTCTCTCTGTATCTCTGACTTTCAAATAAATAAATACATCTTCAAAAATAAAATGAAATAGGGGCCCATGCTGTGGCATAGTAGGTTAAGCCTCTGCCTGTAGCACTGACATTTCTTATGGGTGCCAGTTTGAGTCTCAGGTGCTCCACTTCCTTTTTTTTATTTTTAAAGATTTTATTTATTTATTTGAGAGGTAGAGTTCCAGACAGTGAGAGGAAGAGACAGAGAGAAAGATTTTCCTTCTGCTGGTTCACTCCCCAAATGCCGCAACGGCTGAAGCTGCATCGATCCGAAGCTAGGAGCCAGGAGCTTCTTCCAGGTCTCCCACACAGGTGCAGGGGCCCAAGCATTTTCTACTGCTTTCCCAGGCCATAGCAGAGAGCTGGATTGGAAGAGGAACAGCCAGGACTAGAACTGTCACCTGTATCGGATGTCGGCACTGCAGGAGGAGGATTAACCAACTGTGCCACAGCACCGGCTCCTCCACTTCCAATCCAGTTCTTTACTAACAGCCTGGGAAAGCAGTGGAAGACGGTCCAAGTGTTTGGGCCCCTGCACCTACATGGGAGACATGGAAGAAGCTCCTACCTTCAGATCAGCTCAGCTCTGGTCATTCTGGCCATCTGGGAAGTAAACCAGTGGATGGAAGACCTCTCTCTCTATCTCTCCCTCTCTTGGTCTGTAACTCTGTCTCTCAAATACATAAATAAATCTTAAATAAATAAATACAACAAAATAAAAAGGTAAATAACCCAATTTTAGCATGGGCAAAGGATTTGAATATACATTTCTCCAAAGAAGACATCTGAGTGGCCAATACATGCATGAAAAGATTTTCAGTATCATTAGCTATTAGGGAGCTGCAAATAAAAAACCATGAGACTGCAGTTCATACTAAGATGGCTCTCAGCAGAAATAAAGATGATAACAAACACTGCCAAGGTTGAGGAAAAGTTAGAACCCTTGTACATTGCTGGTGGTAATGTAAAATGGTACAGCACATTGGAAAATGGTTTGGCAGTTCCTCAAAATGTTAAACAGAGTCACCAGTGGCTCAGAGATTCCAGCTGTAGAAACAAAGATACTCAAAAAGTTTATAGAAGAATATAATTAAAAATGTATTTATTCTGCTGCAAAAATCCCCACAATTGACAATCATGCATAGTTTTTTCATAGTATGCATTTTTCCATGAATTTTTTGAAGACCCCCCACATATATTCAGTAGAAATGAAAACATACATCCACACAAAAACTTGATCAATAATCTTCTCTGCAGCACTATTCATCATAGCCAAAAAGTGGCAATGATCCAATACCCATCAACTAGTGAGGTTATGAATAAACAAAGTGTGCTATATTAATACCATGGGATATTATTTAGCAGTGAAAAGGAGCAAAATACTGATATACACAACACGGAGGAACCTTGAAACTCAGACTAAGCAGCAAAGAAGCTATCTGAATGATCCTGTGATTCCATCTAAATGACACGTGCAGAAGAGGCCAATCCAGAGACAGAGAGTGAATTAATGTCTGCTGGAGATAGGCACAGGGGATGTGGACTGACTGTTAATGGGTACAGGATTTCTTTTGTAGAGATTGAAATGTTCTAAAATTAGGTTGTACTGATGAGTTCACAGTTCCGTCAACACACTAAAAACCACTGAATTGCACACTCTAAATGGGTAAATTATATGATATATGTACTACTACTAAAACTACTAAAAAAAAAGAGGGAGGAACTATGACCACAAGAACACAATGTAAAAATCCTATACACAGCTTCAAAATGCTACAGAATCAACTGACTCAAATATCAGACTGAGATGGAACACTACAATATGATGTCTCTTAATCAATACACAGATGTCCAAGTAGTCTCAGAATTCATGTAGGTAACGTTATTAAGTTACAGGGTTTTTGTTTTTGTTTTTGAAAGGCAGAGTTAGAGAGTGAGAGAGAAAGAGAGAGAGAGGTCTTCCTTTTTCTGTTGGTTCACTCCCCAAATGGCCACTACAGCCGGCGCACTGTGCCGATCAGAAGCCAGGAGCCAGGTGCTTCCTCTTGGTCTCCCATGGGGTGCAGGGCCCAAGCACTCAGGCCATCCTCCACTGTATTCCCGGGCCACAGCAGAGGCTGGACTGGAAGAGGGGCAACCGGGACAGAATCCGGCACCCCAACCAGGACTAGAACCCGGGGTGCCGGCGCCGCAGGCTGAGGATTAGCCAAGTGAGCTGTGGCACCGGCCAAATAACAGGTTTTTTAAAAAGTTTTTATTAAGGTATTTGAAATAAGCTAAGAGCAGGCAAATAGTGAGTCTATGTGACAACACGAGAGGGATTCCAAAAGGCTGATCATTGGTTTTCTTGGACTGGAACCAATTAGAGAACACTTACACAACCTATGAGCCTTTGGGGGAATACGAACTTCAACATAGCCTTAGAACTTGAAAGCTGCCAGAGAGCAACAAGGAAGAAACACTGTTGGGCCGCTCAAGAGGCTCCTAGACACACTTTCCCTACTGAGACAATATCAAGTCAAGCAGACTTGAATGAACTTCACTCCAAAGCTTTTAAAACAACCACTGACGCAACACGAGAGACCTTGGGGAAGAAAGAGGAAGGATCGAGTCTCTGAAAAAGGAGAGTAAACGGACTGAGCGCCTCCGAAACACCGCCAACAGGAGACTGACAGAGATGCCACTTTTTGATTTAAAACCCAGAGTATTTTCTGAAAGCAAATACTGCATCAAATATAGGCAGAAGGAACTTAATTTCCATTAATTACAGCCTAATAAAATCACCTTTGTTAAACTAAAACACAGTAAAAGTTAGCTCCAGAAAATGAAGTTTTCAGATATATTTTACTTCAGTGGTGTTTATTCAATATAACATCATAATACTTCTCTTAAAATCAAGTCATATAAAGCTTATTGGGATATAAAGAGTACACAGTGCTACCTACGAGATTATTTGCAAGGGTTCCTCAAGCTGTAGTTACTATTGACCCACAATTACTGATTCACACTTTAGCACATCTCTTCTTTTACCTGATTTCCAAAGCACGAAAGAAACTAAAAGCTGTTAAATGCAAGAATCTGTGGGGATAGAAATCATTTTAAAGACATCAACCATTTATCTGTGGACAATCTCGAAATCTACTACTGTAGCCCGGGGACAGCCTGCAGAAGAGGCCAAGCAAAGGACAGGAAGCCAAGAGGAGGGGGAGGCAGGAGGAAACTCTAGGAGAAGCAGAAAGAAAATGACGATAACGGGCTAATGAAATAGGCGGCCTAAAGGCTAAAATTCTATGTCAATGGAAATCAGCATACTCGGACAAATCAGAACTGGAGATGGAGTTGTGGTTTCTCCCCAGACAGCTGCAGAATCGGAGAGCTCAAACCAGGAGAGACCTCTGGGAGTGCACACACCGTCTACCCGCCTGTCTCCACCATGCATTGCCGAAGCACACACTCCACGCGGCAGACGTGTGTCGGAAGCCCCGAGTCTGTCACATCAGTGCTTTGGTCTAGAAAGTCTTAGAACAATTTTAAAAATGCTACTCTTAGAATTCAACTTCCCGCACTGAGTTTGTTGAGAGATAACATGTAAATATTACCAACTAAGTGTAAATTCACTTTTATAAAGTTTTTAGTCAAAGAAATGATTCACTGTATGTAACTTTCAGAATCCCTTGCTGTCTCACTGTACCACCCAAAAGTCAAGTTTCAGCAAGGTTTTTTCCTATTTGTTAATTTCCTGTTTTAAGTGAAACTTAAGCTTAATTTATTATTATGAATTTTATTTTGAATTTTTGTTTTTCCCGTGAACTTTCCTCAATCTGGTCATTCTGCAAGCTGCTTTCAAAAAGTTACATATTTTTTAACAGGAAGTATGCTGGAAAACATCTCCTTTCTTTGAATTTTTAAATTTTAAACAACCCATCTTACTTTTTATTCATATTTTGTGAATCAATTTAGTTTCTAGTAATATTTTTTCACTCCTCCGCCTGGCGGCGCCGGCACACCAGGTTCTAGTCCCGGTCGGGGTGCCGGATTCTGTCCCGGTTGCCCCTCTTCCAGGCCAGCTCTCTGCTGTGGCCCGGGAGTGCAGTGGAGGATGGCCCAAGTGCTTGGGCCCTGCACCCCATGGGAGACCAGGAGAAGCACCTGGCTCCTGCCTTCGGATCAGCGCGGTGCGCCGGCCGCAGTGTGCCGGCCGCGGCGGCCACTGGAGGGTGAACCAATGGCAAAAGGAAGACCTTTCTCTCTGTCTCTCTCTCTCTCTCACTGTCCACTCTGCCTGTCAAAAAAAAAATTTTTTTTTCACAAAATCTGCTTTTAAAAATGCACGATTTTAAAATGCTCAATTTAATGAACCTTGTGGATAATTTTTTTAAAGAACAAATACAAGACATGTAACAAAAAGATCAGGTGGTCTTAAGGTTGGCAGAGGCACAGCACACACAAATACCCTCTCACTAATTACATTTCACCTTTGAAAGCCATCTCAAATTCTCTTTGCACTCAATTTTAAAAATGGAACATGGACCAAATTCTACCTCGAGTATTCTATTATTCTTCAATTCGTCCCTCATAAGAAAAGCTAACAGCACTGTAAAATGCAATAACCAGATGCTTGTTTCTATAAGCAATTTGGCAGTTGTAGACACTTTCTTTAAAACACGTCACTGGGTTTCAGAGGCAAGGGTAACCCATTTTCAAAGAAGACTGAACCTCAATCCTGGTAGATTTGTATTTCTTCACAAAAGCAACACTGTTCATAATGACAATTGAGATATTTAAAATGATATATTTTTTTAAAATGGGTCCAAGTCTAATAAACGTTCCCCGAGCCTGTAAGAAACGCGTGCTCACCTTAACCTGGAGGTCCTCGGAGCTCTCCGCGGCCATGTACAAGGACAGCAGGACCGGCAGGGTGTTAGTGACCGCGACAGCCTTGGCGTGCTCTGAAGTGTGTCTCCCAATCTGTCCTAAGGACCAAGCAGTCGCGGCCTTAATGTGATCTTCTGGCTCTTCTGACAAGCAGATTGACAACTGGGGCACACCCTGTGGTGTTGATCAAAAGAACAAGTGTTATGAATCTAGAGCAGGATTAAAGAGTCTTCGGACGGGCTCAAACATGAGAAGAAATCATTTCAGCCTTCATCCTTTCTTCTCTAAATGGCTCAATAAACGAGCACATCACAGGGGCTGTCATTTCTCTAAGTCAATAAAATGACTAGGACTAAATGACCTTAATTATCTGTAACAATCCAGCCAAACTGAGAATCTCTCTCCTAGCGTCTCCCCTCGAATAGGGGAGCATTTAACCAAACAGCAGACGCTGCAGACTCAAAAGTAGGCAAAACCGGATTCCATCAGGACAATCCAAAAAATGCTTAGGGTTTTTAAAACCTTGTGTTTACCCTTGCCAAAAAACATCAATTTAGAATCTTGCAAGAAATAACATTTCACCAAGTGTAACAAATCTGAGAACAAAAAAAAGTGCTATGGATTCGAAATCAGATGAGTGAGGATCTTACACATCTTGTATATGAAATGTTTTCCCAAAGTCCTGAAATAGGAGAGCACTTCAAAAAGTTCATGGAAAATGGAATTAAAAGGTGAAGTCAGTTTTCCATGAACTCTTGGAATCACCTAACAGCACATGAATATTTTTCAATTAATTTTGGTTAATTTTCCATTAACTTGTAAATTATGCTTTTGCCTATTCTAACACGATTGAATGTCAAAGTAGATATGAACATGTGTGTTACATCGCTAAAATGTGCTTATATTTTGCCTCGTAGGCAATTTCCAGTTTTATCTATGTGCTGAAACAGAAGTTAACTTAAAGGGACTTGAATACATCACAGTTTATATCCCCATGGAAGAAGCAAATAATCAAACCAAATTCTAATTCCTGAACCTGCATAGGCATAATTCTCTAACTAACTTGAGACTCTAGTAATCACTTTGAATTTAGTACCACAAAAACCAGTATCATGTGGTCACGCTGCCACAGTGAAGGCCAAAAGCGTCATGTACACTTTTTTTCCCACCTCCTTTTATTCTGGTTGTTAGGACCGGTTCCCGAGGAGACCTGCTAGATTGCTTCCCCGGTCCCTTTTTGTGGTGTGTCTGCCAGTGTAAAAGGTCAGACCTGTCTTCCGCATGAAGTGGCTTTCCGGAGAGCCAGCACAGCCAGGAGGTAACAAGACGGATCAGCCGCAGGAGCAAAGGGAGCCGGCTCCTCCCCAGGGGCTCCAGTTGTTCCCAAAGCAAAGGACACAGGGGCATGAGTGCACTTCGAAAACTACAACGCGCCACTTAAATGTAGAATATTACCACCAGTCCTAAACAGTGCCACGAAGGAAAAGGAGGGAGAGCTATAGGACTTGTGCGGTCTGCCTCCAGCTACTTCTGCTAGCTTGATCTTCGGCTCTCTCTTGAAAAACAAACCAGCTTGGGAGCTGCCCGCAGCACCCCTAGTGCAAAGAAGGGCTGAGCTCTGGGTCGGTTTGAGGAGGATGGGGAGGAAGCAAGAGCACCTGCTGCTGCTTTCCTCTGTCTCCTGAAGCCAGAAGATTTCTGACCATCAGCAAAAGAACCAAGGACCAAGAACAGCAGCAACATAGTCGCTGTGCCGCTTCCCAAAGCGCCACTACTGCTCCAGCAGTCACAGCAGAGCGAAGGCAGAGAGCCGCCAACAAGAAGGGAGCTGAGAGTCACCGTGGGACAGGCAGACGACTACCATGCAAGGCTCCTTTCTTTTTTTTTTTTTTTTTTTTTGATCTGTGTTTCGACAGGCAGAGTGGACAGTGAGAGAGAGAGACAGAGAGAAAGGTCTTCCTTTGCCGTTGGTTCACCCTCCAATGGCCGCCGCGGCCGGTGCGCTGCGGCCGGCGCACCGCGCTGATCCGATGGCAGGAGCCAGGAGCCAGGTGCTTTTCCTGGTCTCCCATGGGGTGCAGGGCCCAAGCACCTGGGCCATCCTCCACTGCACTCCCTGGCCACAGCAGAGGGCTGGCCTGGAAGAGGAGCAACCGGGACAGAATCCGGCGCCCCGACCGGGACTAGAACCCGGTGTGCCGGCGCCGCTAGGCGGAGGATTAGCCTAGTGAGCCGCGGCGCCGGCCAAGGCTCCTTTCAATTCAGAGGATGAGCAAGGGATGAGAGAGGTGCCACATTTCTGTTTAACATTCGGCAGTAGTTCTTCCACGGGAGTGAGAAAGCCATGCGTTGGAGGCTCGGCACGCACACACACATGCCACATGGCCTCTGGTGTGTTCTCCAGGGGTTCTAGATTTAGTTATCAACCCATGTTTTCTGAGCACCCACTATGATGCAGGGCTGCCCCATATTTGGTGGACTCATACCAAATTGTGAATTGAGCTAATGCCAAATCCCTAGAGCAAAGAAGCAAAAACACTGCTCTGTGACATGGCCAGCATCTAAGAAGATAACTCAGTTCATGCAAGCTGAAGAAGGGATCTGGATAAAAACAAAGCGCTTAGTCATTGTCACCTCCCACTCAGATGGCAGGAAAGGGAGGACGTAGAGACATCTGAGAAAAGTTACTACTGGGTATGTCATTTACAACAGTTTTTCAAAAAATTATTATTTATTTATTTGAAAGGCAGAGTGCAAAAAAGAAAGAGCTTCCATCTGCTGGTTCACTTCCTAAATGCTCACAATGGCCAGGGCTGAGCCAGGCTAAAGCCAAAAGACTGGAACTCCATCCAGGTCTCCCACATGGGTGGCAGGGACCCAAATACTTGAGCCATCACCTGCTCTCTCCCAGGAAGCTGGAGTTAGGAGCCAGAGCCAGACATGGAACCCAGTTACCCTGATGTGGGATGTGGGCTCCTCAACACACATCCTGCCTGCTAGGCCAAACACCCACCCCTACTTAGTTATTTATGGCTTACATGGTTTGTAAATATACACAATTAATCCTTCCACATACCAATACACTTAATATTTAAATACACATAATATTAATAGTCAAGAGTTGACATTTTGTTAGTATTCAACAGTGGGCAAGACTTTTAAACTTCCCTCACTTGGAGGCTTGCTTTGGGAAACTCGCTAATGAATACTGCAATCAGCACTGAAGCAGTGCATCGTTTGTTTTTCAGGGAGTTCCTTCCCTCCAATCAGCTACATTCGGTGTCCGTGGGAGAATCTCAATCTGTGGTTACTGCAGTGACTGGGGGAAGACGGAGCGGGAACACACCTTGGAAATGATGACAGCCATAGCGAGGTTTTCGGAATGAGCCGCCACATAGCCGAGCATCATGATGCCGGGCAGCCGTATGCTCCCTTTGCAGGAGCTGATGCAATCAATCACAGCAGCCACTCCTCCTCGGTTAACTATCAGTTGAGAGAGCTAAGAGAAAAGAGCGAGAACTGGGTAAGTGGGACCATAAAGCCTGCGATGGCCTTTAAGTGCTGGCTTAGTGTTGCCGCACTCACTCAGGACCCAGAAACGACTGGTGAAAACAGAGATGCCTCTTAGTAAAATGATTGCCTTTATGAAAGAAATATACCAGTGCGATAATCCTGCTGTCTCGAGCGCACAAATATAATCACCGAGAGGAGCTTTGCTGGGTGGTTCAATTGCTTGTGCATTGATGGCACAACTTCTATCTCTATTATAATGGATGTCAAAATCTGTCCCCTAGACACCAAGCCCAGGGCTGGCTCCTAACTAGCTAACCATCAAAAGTCCAATCACGGTGCGTGAGGATGGAGCGGATTAAGCACTGGATGCTGAAAGGCAACGCCAACTTGAGATATTCCAACCTCATCATGCCCCCTCTGCCGCCAATGAGTCCTAGCTGGGTGCACTTCAATTTTGAAAAATCTCAAGCAAATAAAGATGTCAGTTGAAATAAAGAGTGAGGACTATGAAAGCATAATGAAATGAAAATGGATTAGCCAAACTATACACAGGACAAAAAAAAAAAAAAAAAAGATACAACTTTGGAATCAACACAGCCTTGCTTTGTCTCTCTTTTCCAGCTGAGAACTCAGAGCAAGAAACTGCTGCGTTACCAGCAGCCGTGAGCGTGGTCACACTGGACAGGGACTTCTGTGATCTCTCCCAACTTGGAGGCATGATGTCAGGCTCTCTGCTTCCAGGCGACACAAAATGATACAGACGGCAGAGGTCTGCAGCCCCATAACCCAGAAATGCAGAGCTGCGCAGGATGAGAAACTGGAATTGCAAACCCACACTCTAGCAACACAGCCTCATGGTTCCCGACTGGGGACAATTCTGCCCTCTGGAGAACACTGGGCAAAGTGTTGGGACATTTTTGATTGCTGCTGCCTAGAAGGAGTGGGGCTGCTGGCATCTCGCAGGCAGAAGTGGGGGATGCAGCCCTCACCCATCATGCTGGGCAGGGGACACCCCGAGCTCACCAGATCATGGGGCACAACCCCTGGGCCCTGCAAAACAACGGGCATTTTAGTTAAAACTAAGAGCGACTATACGTTACTTTTATTTGTTTATTTTACCTCGGGTGAGTGTTTTGCGATTTCTCTCACTAAGATAGACCCGTTTCTCTTCACATCGTCATCCTTGTCCTTCAGACAGGTGAGCACGACCGGGAAGATCTCCGCTTCCACGACCATCTCTGCGAGGTCCACACAGTGTTTGGCAATCTGGCTGAGCGCAGAAAGGACCTGGCACTGTGAGAGCGAAATCAACACTGAACCAGAGCCCGCGTGTCACCCAACAGCTGTGTACACATCCAGCTTGCTTTATAAAGAAGGAAAAAGTTATGTAGCAAACGTAACCTGAGATTTCCGAGCCTTGAGACACCCAAACCCTAGGCATATACTTAATTTCTAAAATATGGGGCAGGCGCGGTGGCGTAGCGGGTAAAGCCACCGCCTGCAGTGCCAGCCCAGCATCCCGTATGGGCACAATGTTGATACCAACCTGAAGAACTTTCCACTGCCTAGTTAACGTTAACAATTTAAAAACATTATAGAATATCTGTTAGAATATAACGGCATAATGTAAGCCTATTCACTGAAAAGTCAGATTTTAGAAAGCTATAAAAAGGGTTAGTATAAATATGGCAATTTTCAGAAGAAACTTCAATATTATTCTGGTGGGCAAGAACACCTTTAGGTCTCTTCAACCCTGACATTCAATCATCATTCCAACCCTGGGATTCAATTCCTTATTTTCAGTATTAAAGTTACCACTGTTGTGACTTCTAATTTTCAGTATCACAGTTTTCCCAAACACATCTTTATTGTCCAAGCCTTACTGTGTTGTGTTCACGTATTAAGAGACTAAACATATGATATCCTCAAATCTGCTTTATGATGGTCATTTACGAATCGCTTTTAAATGTAGACGCATTTTCTTTCTTTCGGCTGGTAAGCAGCAGGGTTTGAGTACTGTTTTGACCTTATGTGAGAATACCTTCAGTTTCGCATTGGGACTGACGATCATCTGAGCGAGGTGAGGGATGGCTCCTGCATCCACCACGGCGTGTGCTAATTCCGGACAATGCTTGGCGATATCGCTGAGGACCGAGGCCGCAACCCTTTTCAGAGCAATCTCTGGCTCCTGGATACAGAGGACTAAAAGAGGAACAGCTCCCTCATCCACCACAGCTTGTGACAGTTCTGTGGGTCCAAGAAAAGTAATTAAGTGAGTATGGGTGACTGACCCTTGTGCAAGCCATTTTTCACCCTGACAGATACAGCAAAGAAAAAAGGGGAGGGTGTACTTCACTCTCTCGACATCTGCATTTCAAATCAGCCTTCCTGGTCTCATAAACCATGTGGACCAATCCTGAGCTGAAAAGAACACAGGTCAATAGATGGACCTCCATTTACATGAACACATTTGAGGTAGATTAGGCTGAAATGGCTTGTTATTCTTTTTTTTTTTTTAACAGAGTAAGCAGATGTCAGCTGTTTAAGCTCTGACAATTCTGCACTTCTCAATAGGCAAGCATTTTATGCATGGTTTACAATAACACAGAAAATTAAAGTACCAAAAATTTACCAACCACACTAATTAGGTAGTATTTTGTGCTATTTACATGAGTAAACATTAACATGAATCTTGTGCCAATGATGTCAATTTTTAAATTCTTTCCATCTCACAGGACTTTGGAAGATTTTCTGAAAAGCTTTATGTAAAATTAAAAGTTGCATTTTCATTGTACATACAAAAATACCTTGAAAATGAGACTCACGATAGAGCCACATACTTTTATATATATATATAAAATGCCGAAAATAAAGTCATCTTAACCATGTTATGTGTCAGAAATCAAGTAAGTTATTTTCTGAATACACATGCTGATTTACTTGTGTGTCCAAGAATAATAGCCATAAAAACAACATATTTTAATTTCTAGAGAATGGGAAAAAGGCAGGCAGATCCATATAAAATATTTGTTTAAAAAAAGTCTCAGAAGTATAAAGCACCATAGAGAGTTATACATCTGCTTTTATCAGGCTCAGGGCCTCTTTGATTCTACCACATACGCCCATTTCTATCATCTCTTCCTGGCAAATTATGTTTTTATTTGCCCAGATTCATAGTGCTTTAGCATACATAAATGTCTTAATTGTTAAGCCGAGGTATCTATTCAGCATATCACTGAAAGTCTGTAATTTGAAGGAAACACAGTATTTAATTTTTTAAAAGATTACTTAAGATCTCCTTTTCTAAAAGAAAATAACGTTAGCAACTACAGGTTAATGTGTAATACTTGTTTTGCTGAAATGATCATAATTTATCCTCAAAGTCTCACTGTTGTAGAAATGACTCACTCACTCTTTCACAAAACGAGTATTAACGGAAGGTTATTATGTGCCAGGCTCATTCGACTCCAGGGCCGATGACACACCGCTATAAATGAACACCATGCTCATTAACAGCTAGATGTTTCGATTTTCAAATCTGGTGTGAAATATTGTATAAAGTGGGAAGGTCATATGTGATCTCAAGAACCAGAGGTAGATAAGAGGAACATGTTCTGTGGGGTTTTATAGAAGTCAATAGCAACAACAGACTGGTGAACCAACCTAGCAATAAAACAGACTCCTCCCCAGAGGCAACCGCTGCAATGCTACTGCCAACAGCCTGAGGATCAACAAGGCAGCAGGTGAAACAGGTCATCATTGCCTCTCTCCCCTCCCCGCTCCACACCACCCAAGGGAGATGGGCAGAAAATAGCATATATGATGTACAAATTAATTTCTAAACATAACACTCACGTTTTCTGTTTGTTATTCACATGTTACTTAAGAATTCAGTTCAATTCAGATTATACAGGTGTTCTACAGAAATATCAACTTTTATGTACCTATTTAATTCTACCTGGAATATATATAATGGGCTGAACATTTTGTTTCCAGAGAGTATAAGAATCAATTAATCTACTCATGTATTTCCACTGTTATATATAGTTTCTAAGAGTAAAGAATATGCAATAAACCACAATTGTTTAAAAGTGCTGTTAACAAAAACTCAAGGTTCTGTTTTATAAGTAGTTTTATAATTCTCATACATTTTATTCTTCTGTTGAGTAGTTAGCAGAGTGCCATTTCCTCCTTCGCCTGAATACTACCGTGTTAGTGCGAAGGCAAACCTTGTTCCTTTGACTTGGTCCCCAAGCCCGTCCTGAGCTGTTTCCTATTCTCTTCAGAGCAGGGATCAGAAACGTGTAGGAGGCTGGGAATGACTGGAGAAACACTGGCTGGGAAAGTGAGCAAGTTTCCTAGGACCTGGACTGGGCCTGCCAATGCCATGCTTGGAATTTCACATCTTCATACCCGACATCTCCAGATGTGTGAAACTGACATCTGCTCCTTTGTGACATGCATTGGTCCTCAGGAATAATGTTGGGGCAGCCATTCTGTGCAGTAGTTAAGACACTGGCTGGGATGCCAGCATCTCATTTCAGGGTGTCTGGTTCGAGTCCTGGTTCAGCTTCCCTGAGAGGGCAGCAGGTGATGGCTCAAGTACTTGGATCCTTGCCATCCACATGAGAAACCCAGATTGAGTTCCTGGCCCCCAGTTTTGGCCTGGCTCAGGCCTGGCTGTTGCAGGCATTTGGGGAATAGACTGGCAGATGTAAGATCTTTATTTCTCTGTTTCTGGTACAGTTTCTCTCTCTCTTGCTCACTATTTATATATACTATAGATATATAGTATATCTGTAGTATATATAGTATGTCTATATAGTATATATAGAGTCTATATAGTATATATACAAATAGATATATTATATATACATATTGCCTCTCAAAAGCATAAATAAAATTTCCAAAAGAAGTAATATGGTTCAACCACCTTCATACAGATTCTACATATAAGACAGAGTACATATACAGACAAGAATGCAACAGGCTTAAGTGACACACACCTACTATGCAGTACACACTGTACAGGCTAGCTCTTTTGGCTCACCTCCGCCACTCATTTCTATGGCATTCCTCTCTCCTTTTCTCAACTGTTGCTTCCTCACGTGTTTTTATGCCAGTCACCATCAGCATCTACCCAGTAGCCTTTGTCAACCAAAGCGTGGGCTTGTGAGCCAATCCTGGCTATGGAGCCTGAGCAGAAGTCAGCTGCAAGCGTCTGCAAAAGGTTTTCCTCTGTGACAAACCCAGGTCCACAGGAGAACACCCCACCTGTTCTCAGTTGGAGGTGGTCAAGTCTACAACTCATATCTGGAACTGCTACATCCACCTTGCCATGACAAGGAAGAAATCATCCATACACCAAAGATAGCTGCGTGCCACAATGAGAAACAGCTGGGCCCTCCACAACACTGTCGAGCTGCCTGAAGGACTCTGGCACCACCCTGACTCTGAACTTTGTGTCATGTGTATAAAAAGCATCCTTAATGTTTTAGTCACTTGCGGTTGATAGTCTGCCACTACAGCTAAAAATAATCCTGATAGCAGTGCGTTCCTCTCTCAGGCGTGGGATGGGTACAGGATCTCCTCTCTTCCGTCACTCTCCCTGTGTCCGTTAAGCACTCACTCTGTGCTGGGAACTTGGCTAGATCTCAGGGAAGGAGATCAGAGTAAAAGGCCATTCTGTTCTAGCAGACTCCGCTTGGGGTGGGGACATGACCCATCACTGGGAAAGTGACACTGGGTGTCATTTCAGGAAACGCTCCGGCCTGACTTCTTTCTCCCTGGCTCGTTTTTCCTCTACCTTTCTACTCTAAGAAAAGCAAAAAACATACAGAACCAAAAAACATAATTTCACACAGCTGAAATATTATTTCCCCTGGGAGAAAACTCACAGAGCTCACTTTTTTTTTAATTTTTTTTTTTTTTTTTTTTTGCAGGCAGAGTTAGTGAGAGAGAGAGACAGAGAGAAAGGTCTTCCTTCCATTGGTTCACCCCCTAAATGGCTGCCACAGCCGCACGCAGCACCGATCTGAAGCCAGGAACCAGGCGCTTCCTCCTGATCTCCCATGCGGGTGCAGGGCCCAAGCACTTGGGCCATCCTCCACTGCCTTCTTGGGCCACAGCAGAGAGCTGGACTGAAACAGGAGCAACCGGGACAGAACTGGTGCCCCAACCGGGACTAGAACCCAGAGTGCCGGCGCCGCAGGCGGAGGATTAGCCAAGTGAGCCACAGTCTCACTTGACATTGAGCTTACAGATACACTCAACTGGTTATCATATTTATGCTGTGAAAGATTGATATATGGGGCAGATGTTGCGGCATGGGCAGATGAAGCTGCCTCTAGGGATGGAGTTCCTAGGATCCAGTCTTGCTCTGTTGCTGATCCAGCTTCCTGCAGATGTTCGCCCTGGGAGGCAACAGATGATGGCCCAAGTACTTGGGTCCCTGTCACCCACGTGGAAGACCCAATAGCATTCCTAGCTCCCGGCTTTGGCCTGGCCCAGTCCCTGCAACAAATGTGGGCATTTGGGGGTGACTCAATACAAGGGAAATCTCTCTCTCTCTCCCTCTTTCCTTCTCTGTTGCTCTGCCTTTCAAATAAATAAAAATAAACATTAAAAAAGTAACCAAAGAATTAATATTAACAAACAAAATTTTGGTGTATAGACTTTGATGCCCATAAAAAGGTTGACCAAAGGCCGGCGCCGCGGCTCACTAGGCTAATCCTCCGCCTAGCGGCGCCGGCACACCGGGTTCTAGTCCCGGTTGGGGCGCCGGATTCTGTCCCGGTTGCCCCTCTTCCAGGCCAGCTCTCTGCTGTGGCCAGGGAGTGCAGTGGAGGATGGCCCAGGTGCTTGGGCCCTGCACCCCATGGGAGACCAGGAAAAGCACCTGGCTCCTGGCTCCTGCCATCGGATCAGCGCGGTGCGCCGGCCGCAGCACGCCGGCTGTGGCGGCCATTGGAGGGTGAACCAACGGCAAAGGAAGACCTTTCTCTCTGTCTCTCTCTCTCTCACTGTCCACTCTGCCTGTAAAAAAAAAAAAAAGAAAGAAATTTATCATTTTTAAAATAACTTTTTGCAAGGAGGATTTTTAAATTAATTTAGAGAGCAGGAAGACAGAGACAGATGTTACACCTGCTGGTTCACACCCCAAAAGCCTACAATAGCTAGGGTTGGGCCAGGTGAAGAACTGAGAACTCAACCCAGATCTCCCACTTGGGGGGCAGGTGCTCATACTT